GGACAGGCAAAGGCTGTAGCAGTCCATGAGACTTACCCGAAGCAGACTTGTTGCGCTGGCACAAATCGCAGGACAGAACGTAATTCTCCGCGTCTTTACCCATCCGAGGCCACCAGAAAGAACGACGAAGGATTTCGACCATCAGCGTGCAGCCAGGGTGTCCTGCTAACGGTCCGTCATGAAAGCGAGAAAGGAGCTCACGGCGCAGGGAATCGTCGTTAGGCACGACAATTTGTCGATAGGAACCCTCCCTGCGAAGACCGTCTTGCAGCAGCAGGTGACCCGTGTTATGTTTGTCAGCAAACCAGGGGTCAGTAGCGATGGCAGCCTTAATCCGCAAGGACAAATCGAAGGGTGAAACCGACAGGTCCACTGATGCGGAGCGGCGCGCGACACACAGGATGGCTGCGTGTAGTGAAGGGTGCTTACTGAGAGCGTCAGCCACGTTCAAAGAGCCAGACAGATACTCCCAGTCGAAGTTAAACCGCGCTAAGTACTCCATCCACCTAGCCTGCCGGCGATTTAACGAAGGCACACCCTGGAGAAACGTAAGGGGCTTATGGTCCGTCTTAAGCGTGAAGGCCCTGCCTTCAAGATAACATCGCCACTCTTTCAGCGCGTGTAGGACAGCGAGCAATTCCTGTTCCCCCGTGGTGTAACGGGTTTCGGCACCCGTAAACTTCCTACTCGTGAAGGCCACAGGACGGCCTTGCTGCAACAGAACAGCACCGGATCCGTAAAGAGAAGCATCAGTCACTACCTCCACACGGAACGGTAACGAGAAATCGGGAAAACGCAGGATAAGGTCGTCGGCGACCGCACGCTTTAACACGTCAAACGCCTGCTGGCACTCAGCTGTCCACACGGCAGGCGACGAAAACGCACCCTTACGAGTCAGGTTGGTCAGGGGCGCAGCTATTACAGAATAGCCCGCAATAAACTTACGAAAATAGTTCGTCAACCCCAGGAACTTACGAAGTTCCTGCAGAGAGGTGGGCGCTGGCCAGTCCCGTACAGCAGCAGTTTTACGGGGATCCATCCGAACACCGTCGGCAGAGACGATGTGGCCAAGGTACTCCACCTGGGGTTGCGCCCAATGGCACTTGGACAGCTTGGCGTAAAACTTTTCTTGCCGTAGTACCTGGAGGACTGAGCGCAAGTGCTGCAGGTGCTCCTCGCGCGTTTTAGAAAATACCAGGATGTCGTCCAGGTAGACGATTAGAAATTTGTCAATATACGGCCGAAAAATACGATCCATAACGGCTTGGAAGGTGGCAGGAGCGTTAGTTAAGCCGAAACTAATGACCGTGTACTCAAAG